GTTTTTCTGGGTTATGGGGAGGAGACTAATGGTTATAGACTTTGGGTTAAAGAGCAACATGGCTACAAGGTTATCTTGAGCAGGAATGTTATCTTCAATAAAAATATATTTCCCTGTAATATCCCTACTAATCTTAAATCTGATGAACCTGTACTTGTGAGAAAAAACCTTAGTGGAAGATCAAACTGAAACTGATATAGATCAACATGACTTGATTGAGGTGGAGTCTACTCAATCTAGTGGTGAAAATAACCATAATGATTTTGAATCTGAAACTGAATCTGTTAATCTTCCATTAGCAGATTATCAATTAACAAGAGACAGAGAAAGAAGGAACATAATACCCTCAACCAGATTCAGAAATGATGACTTTGTTACCCTATTTTCTGTTCTGGACTCCTTGAATTCTGAACTATATGATTTTGAAGATGCAATAAATTGTCATGATTCTAAGTTTTGGAAAGAAGCCATGAATGAGGAAATGGATTCTTTAATAAAGAATAAAACATGGGTTCTTGTCAACAGACCTAAAGATAAAAAGGTTGTTGACTACAAATGGATTTTCAAAATTAAATAAGGAGATTCTAAAACAGAAAATAAGAGATATAAAGCCAGATTGGTGGCTAAAGGGTTCACCCAAAAGGAAAGAGATGATTATAATGAAATTTTTTCTCCTGTTGCCAAGTATACTTCAATTAGAATTCTATTGGCGTTAACTGCCCATTTTGATTGGGAACTAGAACAACTTGATGTTAAAACTGCCTTCCTTTATGGTGATCTTGATGAAGTTATATACATGAATCAACCTAAGGGCTATGAAGTAAAATCAAAAATTGAAAAGGTCTGCCTTCTGAAAAAGTCTCTTTATGAGCTAAAGCAAGCCCCCAGGCAGTGGTATATAAAGTTTAATTCCTATGTTCAGACCCTAGGTTTTGTGAAAAACAGTTATGATTCTTGTTTTTTTTTTCAAATGGTCAGGTGGATCCGAATCCATTTATCTGTTGTTATATGTGGATGATATGCTGCTTGCCTGTTATGATAAATTTGAAATTGAGTCTGTTAAGTCAAAACTGAAATCTGAATTTGAAATGAAAGACCTCGGATCTGCTAGAAGAATTCTTGGTATGGAAATAGAAAGAGATAGGTCTAGTTGCACTCTAATTTTAAAACAATCTTCTTATATACAGAAAATACTTGAAAGATTTGCTATGTGCGAGTGTAAACCTATTTCTTTACCCATTGCAAATCACTTTAAACTCTCCAGTGATCAATCACCTAAATCAGAACATGAAATAAAAAGAATGGAAAAGGTGCCCAATGCTACTGCTGTAGGATCTATTATGGTTTGCACCAAACCTGACCTAGCTCATGAAATTAGTATGTTGAGTAGGTTTATGGCAAATCCTGGGGAAACTCACTGGTTAGCAATAAAGTGGATGTTTAGGTACTTGAAAGGCTCAATTAACCTAGGATTAAAATTTAAGAGTCTTAAAGGGTTTTACAAATTCGGATTTTGCTGGTGACCTTGACAGAAGGAGATCCACATCCTCCTACATATTTACTTTGTGTAATAGTTGTATTAGTTGGAAATCTCAATTGCAAAAATTGGTTGCATTGTCCTCTACTGAGGCTGAGTATATAGCAGCATGTGATGATGTACAAGAAAGCATATGGTTAAGAGGATTACTAAATGATATTGGTTTTGTAAATGAATATGTTGCTGTTCATACTGATAACCAAAGTGTCATTCATTTAAGTAAAAATCCAGTTTATCATGATAGAACAAGCATGTTGATATAAAATTCCATTTTGTAAGGAATATGGTTGAAGAGGGTGTGATTAGTCTTGTTAAAATCCCTACAGAATTTAATCCTTCTGACTTAGGAACAAAAATTTTGACATTAAGTAAATTTATGAACTGTTTGAAAATTCTGAACATCACTTAAAATATTGTTTAAGTGATATTCAGAACTTTTTTGTTGAAAAATAAACTAACTACAGATTTTTCTTCTTTACAGGTTCTGAGAGCAAATGAAGTCAAGTGAAGCCTGAATCCACTTGGTGAAACAAAGAAATTGTTCAGCAAGGTGGAGAATGTTGAAAATTGGGCTGCCTGAAATTTCTTTGGACCGTGTTTTTGCAAAATAAGTCAGGGCCAACCCAATTTTATAAAAACGTGTTTTGTGGAAAAAACGTCTTTTGCCTCCTATGAGGGCTGGGCTGTGCCATACACGTGGCACAGTCTCAACCCTTGGATCAAATTATTCACTTGAACGGATATCTACCTTGGTCCTTTAGTCTTCTGCAGTTGGAACGGTTTAGTTACTCTCTAAAATTTTCTCGTGTACTCTCTTTCTCTCTCTGTGTGAGGGTTTCTTCTTCTTCTTCGTGTTTTTCATTCTCTCTGAAAATCTGAAATTCTTTGTCTTGTAATCTTTCATTCTGTAAAGAAAGGTTGAGTGATCTGTGTGATCTTGTTTGAGAGAGAAGTTGAGTGAAAGGAGGCGAGATAAAACGAAGAAATCTCTAATTTCTTCGAACATTTGTACGATTTCTTTGTGATATTTAGTGGAATCTCGAGCATACTCTTGACTGAGGCTCAACGGGTGATTATGTTCTTTAAACTGAACACCCGGGCTCCTTTTGGAGCAAAACATATCTGCTGTTATTTTTATTTTTTGAGATTTACATTTCTATAATGTTTCTAAAATTACGAAATAATAATGTTTGGGACCAACAGAAACAACTTCACAAATTATACCAATAGAAATTCGAACAGTTATGGGTAAAGCGTGGAAACCATTGTGATTTGGAACTATATCCTGAATATATTAGGCGCCTAAAGAAGGTTGTTGCTACAATTGAAAAAACCACCTTCGCAGAGGAACACTTCCCGGAGAAGTATAAAACGGCCCGAACAATCGAGGAGGATCGAATGTTACGAGGCTCCAAGAAAGAGCATTGACTGGAGGGAGAAACCTAGACGAAGCACTAATAAGCCCCAAAAATGAAAAATTATGAATACAAATTTCATTCTGATGACAAGCTTTTGAAGTTGAGAATATCATTTGACCAGATAGAAAGATCTCGGAAAAGTGTGGAATATCACGACAAGTCTAGGAGTGTCGATCATCAACTAGAGAAGGCACGAAAGAGAGTGGGTTGGCTAGACAGAATACGAGCAGTGTGAATTTGTCGATGGTGGTGTAGATCATTGTGTGTTTTTTCATAGGTGTAAAGAAAGCAACGAAAAGATGACGATTTAATTTATGGTTATGGGGCCTTGTATCTTGTTCTCGGAGTTTCCACGACGACCTCGGTTAATAACTTTTCCAGTTTTCTTCTATCATGAGGAAAAAGTTGTGGGGCATATCATGGTTTAATTCATCACTCTTGACAAGTTTCACTTGTTTTTTAGGCAGGCCTGTATAAAGAATGCCTTTAACATCTAGTATCTCTCTATGCGTGTCATTCTTGTGCAGTCACTATATTAATTTCTATGTATTGTTCCAATTTTATCGAATGTCCCATAAAAATCTTGAGTAGGCTTTGAAAGGCTCAACACTCATAGGCTTCAAAGGGCTTAACACTCTTCATAGTGGCACCGTATGCTCCATGGCTTGTTAATGAGATTGATGTAGTAAAAATGGAGCCAACTTGTGAGCATTGCCTGATGGAGCAAGAGGAGAGCAATAGAACAAGATTCAACTTCTTTTCTAGTTTGTTTGGCTAAGCTTAAAAGTAAATTTTTAATTCATTATAAATTTAACCAAACATGCGTATCTAATTCTTAGCCATGGTACTTCAAAAATTAACGATGTTTTCCAAAACAAACAACTTGGCAGGTTCACAAATTCACACAAGGCCACCAAAAAGAAAAGGAAACTAAAGAGAAGTAAATCAAACACAAAATCAACAATACTTTGATTCATAATATAGTTTCAATTGCTGCACATTAGAATCAGCAACGCTGAAATCCTATATATCAAAATATCATTTGACAGCAACACTGAATCATATGTATCATCGACAAACATCCAATGAAGCAGAGTAAATCAAACACAAAATCAACAATACTTTGATTCATAATATAGTTTCAATTGCTGCACATTAGAATCAGCAACACTGAAATCCTATATATCAAAATATCATTTGACAGCAACACTAAATCATATGTATCATCGACAAACATCCAACGAAGCACTCCAGACATCAATAACTGAAATGCCTAAGAAGAGAATCAATTTAATACAACAAAGAAAAATTAACTTTAAGGAATGTTTTGGTAGGCAGAATTAAATAGTATTGGATAGTATTAAGGAGAAGGAAGTAAAAATCTTGTTCATTATACTATCTGGATGAACTTACAGTATTTCAATGGACAATCCTGAATCACGAATTCTTGAATATGAAGATGAAGGACATCATTCCCTAGATCTAGTTGATTCTCTAGTAATTTCTCTGCTGAATTCACGGCTAAAGGGCTGGAGTCATCCATCTCAATTATTTGAAGCGTTGGTATATCTCCAATACTATGAGAGATCTCCTTCAGATGTTCACAATTCTTAATGACTGGACGCTCAAGTCTCTGAAAATGCGTAGAGTCGACAATCCAATCCTCCAGTTCAAGGCATTCCAGCAGTAGGAATTTTAGTCGAGGAAATTCTCCTTCAGTTGGTTTCCAATCTTTCCCATAAAAAGCATGCCTCCATTTCAATTTGAGCACTTCAAGATTCAACAACAAACCAATAATTGTCGTAGCTTCCCAAGGTAGACCCCAACCGCTTAGAGTTAACTTTCTGACGAAGGAGGGAAAGTGGTTCTGCAAGAAAGATGGGTACAGCCGACGACTGTGCATTTTAATATTTCAAGTTCATGAAGATTGACGAGATTATTGAGACAGTAGTCCGGCCAATTCTCTCATTCATGATCATAAAAGATTCTCAATTTCTTCAGATTTGGAATTCTTTTAACAACCTCCTCAGAACATCTGAAATTTCTTATGCTGGATAGTGTTTGAAGATTTTCGAGAACATAAGAATTTCTCCCTCTGTTATTGCAAGATCAGGCAGGTTTACTGCTGTCAACCAGATATGCCTTAATAGTGGCATCCTCCATAATGGTAGATATATTGAATCCCCTTGAACATAAAGAAACAAGCTCTGTAAATTCTGAAGTCGTGATATTGATGACAAAAGCCAATCAACTCCAAGGAAGCAAGCAAGGTACTGCAAGCTAACTAGTTCAACTATGTTGGCAAAAATTGAAAAAAATTGCACACTCAACATGTGCAATACCTTGATCAGCCTAAAATTTAAAGAGACAATGAATGAATGAGGGAGATTCCAATAAAAAGATAAAATAGACTTTAGCGGTGAAGTTGGCACTATTTTGGCATCAGAATGAAGAATTTCTATATTTGAATAGATACTTATGCTGCACAGAATAATGCCTTCCGCAACACATAAGTGGAACCTATTGGCAACTTGAAACAACTTCTCCTCTCGAGCTTCTCTTACGCATACGTCCCGTAAGAGATTATGGATTCCACAAGTTTTAATTTTACCATTAGACCTATGCTTATGAACCAAAATAAGGCTTCTGTTAACAAGATCCAACAAGTACTCTTCAGCAACGTCTTCCAAGCTTTTAGATCGTGAAGGGGTTAGGAATCCTTCAGTGTCCCATAACTTGAATAGTGTGGAGACAAGAATATTAGCACCTTCTAGGAAGATTCCCAAGGAAAGAAAACAGGCTTTCAAATGATGAGGCAAGTGAAAGTAACTTAGAGACAAAATCTCTAAGCACTTCTCATCGTCTGTACTACCAATTGAATTTACTACAGTCTACCAATATTCTTCTGTCTTCTCGGCCTTTGACAGGATCCCACCAATCACAACAATTGCAAGTGGAAGTCCATGGCACTTCCGTGCAATCTTGATTACAATTTCCTTGAGTTCAGGAGGACAACAACCTTCTCCAAATACCTTCCCACGAAGTAAATTCCAACTTTCTTCCTCTCTAAGGAAACGCATGTGATGAGGGGGTAGACAAGAATTGGCTTCAATAGCCACGTTCTCTAGCCTAGTAGTCAGCATAATTCGACTTCCATTTCTGTCATCCGAAAATAATCTTTTCATATCGTCCAAGATTTTAGCATCCCACAGATCATTCATTACAATAAGATAATTATAACCCTTTAGCATTTTATAAAGATGCTCTGCTAGTTGTTCACCACTCCACTGGCGCATTTCATCAGCTAACTTTTCCATAGATTCTAGAAGGCCTAAAAGAATTTATTGAACATGACAGTTTGGATGTACTATTATCCATGTACGTAAATGAAAGTGATGTAGAATAAATGGATCATTGTAAACTTTTTCTTGCCAGAGTAGTTTTGCCAATTCCACCCATTCCAACAATAGAGATTGTCTCAAGTTTTAATGAATCTCTACCGAGTCGAGTCTTGATCTCTAGCAAGTCATTATCAAAGCCAACCAGGGTGCTCCACGTAAGCCCTTTTCAACCAGCAGGCAATGAATTCCTCTGTTGGACGCCACTCCTGTCCTCGATCCTCAACAGTCCTTTCTTGGAATCTATTTATTTCATTACTTCATCTAAGTCTCCGCAGAATAGAGTAAAATTATCCCTTGACTTGTAGATTGTAAAGGACCTTGATCTGTTATGTGGGATTCTGTGAGAAAGAATGGTTGCAGGGAGGCAGGCGCCATGGCGCCCAAATTGAAAAAAATGGACAGTGATGCTGGCGCCATGGCGCCCAAGGTTTTGAAGAAACTTGGCGCCATGGCACCCAATTCAATTCTAAATATATTGAGTGGCGCCATGGCGCCCAATTCAATTCTATATATATTGTTGTTTTCCCCTTTGTTTTAACACCCGTTTTTTAGAGAGAAAAGAGAGAGAGCTTGGATTGAATTTAACAAGTAAGAGGTTGTTCTTCTTGGGTATAAATTCAAAGTTATTTTCTTTTCTTGGGGATTAACTTGAGGCTTGTTCAAGTAATCCAATCCATTGTTCTTCATTTATTCCATTGAAATCATTTCTTCCCCAATTTTCTTGTTCTTGAAGTGGTTTGGAATTTTTCACATTATCAAGCTTTGTTTGATCTTGGGCAATCTTTGGGAGGTGTTTTCCCAACAATTTGGTATCAGAGCTTCTTCTTAAATCAAGGTGGTTAAGCTTCGATTTTTGGTGAGTTGCTTGAACTTTGTTGTGCACACAAAGTGTTTGTGAAAATTCCCAAGTGAACTTTGGTGGTTTATTTTCGGTAAACAAGTGGATAAATCATGTCTACTAGAGGAATGGTGAAGATTGGGAAGTATGAGATAGAGAAATTCAATGGGAAGAATGATTTTTCATATTGGAGAATGCAAATGAAAAATTTGTTGATTTCTTAAAAGTTGCACAAGGCATTGGCGGGAAAGGAGAAAAAGCACGTTGATATGTCGGACGAGGATTGGGAAGAGCTAGATCTTGAGGCACGAGCGTCTATCATTCTATGCCTTGAAAGAGATGTTGCTTTCTTGGTTGATAGTGAGGTAACGGCGACGGAGGTGTGGATAAAGTTGGAGGCGAACTTCATGACGAAAACTCTAACAAATCGGATCTATTTAAAATCCAAATTGTATACTTGCAAGATGGATGAAGGTACACCAATCCGGGAGTACGTCAACAAGTTTGATAGGATCATATCGGACTTGAAGGACATTGATGTGGAAGTAGATGATGAGGATCAAGCACTTCTACTACTTCTTTCATTGCCAAAGTCTTACGAGACCTTAGTACAAATATTGATGCTTGTGGGTGATAAACTTGTGATGGAGGACACTAGAACGTCTCGAAAGGTTGCAACTAGTGGCATGTCTACCATTGGTAACAAGGAGCAAGCTCAAGGATTGTTTGTAAGGGGTAGAAGCAATGTGCGACCAAAGGGCAAGGGAGAAAAATCTAGATCGAGTTCTAGACCTCTTGCGGAAAGGTCTTGTTTCAAATGTGGCGAGTTTGGGCATTTCAAGGTGAATTGTCCTAACAAAAGGGGTTCAAAAAAGAACAATAAGAACAACAACAACGGGAAAGTGCAAGTCAAGCAAGAGATAAGCTATGCCTCGAAAGGAGGGGAAAGCGATGAGTGCTACACCATCTCTTGTGATGAAGAAACCTCCGGTAAGTGGATTCTTGATTCTGGATGCTCTTACCATATGTGTCCAAATAGGAAGTGGTTTACTACCTATAGAAGCACTAATGGTGGAACCGTGTTGATGGGTAATAACCATTCCTGTAAAACGGTGGGGCTCGGTTCAATTAGAATCAAGATGCATGATGGAGTGGTTAGAACATTGATGGATGTTAGACATGTTCCTGATTTGCGAAAGAACCTTATCTCTGTTGGTACCTTAGACTCCGGTGGTTGCAAGATTGTAACATGGAATGGAGTAAAGAAGGTTGTTCGTAGTTCTTTGATTGTGATGAAGGGTATTCGTGAAGGCAATCTCTATGCCCTTCAAGGTACTACGGTTACTGAAGATGTAGCAGTTGGAACAAGTGGAAGTGGTGGAGACCCATGTGAGTGCACTCAGCTATGGCATAGGAGGCTTGGGCATATGTCTGAAAAGGGGCTAGATTTGCTAGTCAAGAAATATTTGCTAAAAAACTTGAAGAAGCCTTGCATGGATTTTTGCGAGCATTGCGTGTACGGTAAAGCACACCGAGTTCAGTTCCAGCCAAGCAAACATAGAAGTAGAGGTATTCTAGACTATGTACACACGGATGTATGGGGTCCGGCTTCTGTCACTTCCAAAGGCGGTTCCAGGTATTTTGTTACATTTGTTGATGATTATTCTAGATATGCTTGGATTTATTTTTTGAAGCATAAGAATGAGGTATTCGACACTTTCAAGAAGTGGAAAGCAATGGTTGAAAACAGAACAGGAAAGAAATTGAAGACACTGCGATCTGATAAAAGTACTGAGTATACAGATGGTGCTTTCAAGGAGTTCTGTGGTAAGAAAGGCATTGTGAGACACTGGACAGTTAGAAATACACCGCAACAGAATGGGGTCGCCATTTCGAGAGAAATCGACGTGTATACGATCCTATGCTGGTTTGGGCAGAGAATGGTGGGCAGAGTCGGTTGCAAACGCTTGCTACATAGTGAACCGGTCTCCACATTCAAGGTTAGATGGAGATGTACCTTACAGGGTATTGACAGGAGAACATGCAAATTATGAGAAACTCAGAACATTCGGATGCACAGCCTATTATCATGTCAACGAGGAAAAGCTTGATGCGAGGGCCAAGAAGGCTATATTCTTGGGGTATGCGGCAGGTGTTAAAGGCTATCGCCTTTGGTGTGTAGAGGATTCTAAGTTCATAATCAGCAGAGATGTTACTTTTGATGAGAACTCCATGATAGCTTCGTTGAAAGCTACAGTGCCCGGTGGTGATGATGTTGAGACTACAAAGTCTCAAGTTGTTAACATAGAACCTAGAGATCAACCTGGTTCTAGGCATGTTCAAGAGGAGCATCATACAGACACTCAAGATGAGAGTGATGATGGACTTGAACAAGAGGCGGTTCAGCAAGAGAATGTTCAGGTACAGTAACAACAGCAGCTTGCAGATAACTTGGCTTCCTCTAGGCCACGCCGTACTTACAAGCAAGTTCTAAAGTTGGGGTCAGACGAGCCTTTGAGGCACTATGGGCAGACAAATCTAGTTGAGTATGCACTCTCGGTAGAGGACGATGAGCCTACCACTTTCAAGGAAGCTATTTTAAATAACAATAGTGAGAGTTGGTTGGCAGCGATGGAAGAAGAGATGGAATCACTTTACAAGAACCAAACGTGGGAGGTTGTCCTATTGCCCATAGGTAAGAAAGCTATTGGTTGCAAGTGGTTGTACAAAAAGAAAGAGGATCCTACCAAGTTCGGTGGTACAAGATTCAAAGCAAGGTTAGTGGCTAAGGGGTTTTGCACAAAGAGAGGGAGTTGACTGCAATGAGATCTTTTCTCCGGTGGTCAAGCATACTTCCATTCGGGTGCTATTGAGTATTGTTGCTCATCATGATCTTGAGCTGGAACAACTCAATGTCAAAACCGCCTTCTTGCACGGGGACTTGGATGAGGAAATCTATATGCATCAACCTGAGGGCTACAAGGTTGAGGATAAGGAACGTCAGGTATGTCGCTTGAGAAAATCACTTTATGAATTGAAGCAATCTCTTCGGCAGTGGTACAAGCGATTTGACTCCTTCATGCTAAAGCATGATTTCTCCAGAAGTGAGTATGACTGTTGTGTTTATATTCGAAAACTTCGGGGAGGTAACTATATCTATCTTTTTTTGTATGTGGATGACATGCTTATCGCTTCGAAAAGCAAGGTGGAGATAGATAGGTTGAAATCTCAACTTGGTAAAGAGTTTGAGATGAAGGATATGGGGGCTGCTAGGAAAATATTGGATATGGAGATTAGAAGAGAGAGGACGAACCGGCGAATGTTCTTGAGTCAGAAAGGCTACATTGAGCGGGTTATTGCTAGGTTCGGGTTGCAAGGTGCAAAGTCGGTGGTGACTCCATTGGCTCCACATTTCAGGCTCTCTGGTAAACAGTCTCCTACTACAGCGGAAGAAAAGGTACGCATGGATCGTGTACCTTATGCTAGTGCAGTTGGCAGTTTGATGTATGCCATGGTGTGTACACGCCCAGATATTTCACAGGCGGTTAGTGTGGTCAGTAGATTTATGGCGAATCCGGGGAAGGCACACTGGGAAGTTGTGAAGTGGATCCTGAGATACTTAAAAGGTACCACGGATACCGACTTATGTTTTGGTGGAGATGCATGTCATATAAGTGGGTTTGTGGACTCGGATTATGCAGGTGACCTAGATAGACGATGATCTACTACTCGATATGTGTTTTGCATACATGGTGCCCCAGTTAGTTGGCGATCGATGTTACAGGCTACAGTTGCTCTTTCTACTACAGAGGCCGAGTATATGGCCATGGCAGAGGGAGTGAAGGAAGCGTTGTGGTTATTGGGTCTTCTAGATGATTTGGGGATTGAGCAGGATTGTGTGGACTTGTGGTGTGATAGCCAGAGTGCGATTCACTTGGCTAAGAATCAGGTTCATCATGCTCGAACCAAGCATATCGATATCAGGTATCATTTTGTGCGCGATGTCATAGAGAAAGGTGATATTTCACTCTTGAAGGTACACATAAATTAGAACCCAGCAGACATGTTAACCAAAGTGGTAACGGGTAGCAAGTTTCAGCATTGCTTGGACTTGCTTCACATTAGTCCGTGTTGATATGCCCGAGTGGGCATGGCCCTTCGGGGCAGGGTTGAAATGAGGTGAAGAGTATATGAAGGTGGAGGTGAACTACGGAGGCTTGATCCCGAGTTTTGGGTACGTAGGCAACCATGGTTTGAATGGTGCAGCCGAGTTTTGGCGCTTGCTGCTTCTTCTTGTGTTCGTCCAAAATTTGAGGTCTATCAAATGATGTACGAGGTGGAGAATTGTGAAAAATAATGGTTGCAGGGAGGCAGGCGCCATAGCGCCCAAATTGAAAAAAATGGGCAGTGATTTCTATATATATTGAGTGGCGCCGTTTTCTCCTTCATTTTAACACCCGTTTTTTATAGAGAAAAGAGAGAGAGCTTGGATTGAATTTAACAAGTAAGAGTTTGTTCTTCTTGGGTATAAATTCAAAGCTATTTTCTTTTCTTGGGGATTAACTTGAGACTTGTTCAAGTAATCCAATCCATTGTTCTTCATTTATTCCATTGAAATCATTTCTTCCCCAATTTTCTTGTTCTTGAAGTG